AAAAAACATGAATCATAAAATTAGTTCAGTTTAAAGCAAGCATAAGAGTGAGAGAAAACTTTTTTAATATAAACAATTGAACAAGATATGAAATTCTATTTTAAATTAAATTGTTGAGAAATTAATTATTAATTAATTGCAATTATTATAATAACATTTTTTTTTAATTCAATTTAATTTAATTTTAACATAAAAATATTACTTTCACCAAAGTAATTTACTTATTAGAAAGTAATTATAACAATTGTTATAATAATTAATATGGAGTAAGCTGAATATGTGTTATATTTCATTAGAAATTATTAATTCAATAAGGTTTAATACTGAAGCAATAATTCGCATAGTGCGAGTAATCGGTTCTACAAATATCCCCGAAACCGGACTAATAGAGGACTTTCGAAATTTGTAAACCGGACTTTAGTGAACTTGTCTGATCGAAATATTACTATGTTGAATGTATAGTATGTTTTATGAGAAAATATAAATTAAATAAGTAGTTTAATAGCAATACTTCGCATGGTGCGGATAGGTAATCTGTTCAGCCAATATCCCCAAAACCGGACTAATGAAGGACGTAAAAACGGTATAAAAATAAACGATTTGTTTTGAAATTTTCAAACCGGATTATAGTGAACCTGACTTATCGAAATCGCACTATGTTAGATATGTAGTAAATTACAACAGAAAATATTAACTCAAATTAATTAAATTGTATAGAAATTTTAAATAAAATGTAAACAAAACATGTTTTTCTAAACTAAATTTGCATTAATTTAAGTATATTTTTCGTTCAAAAACTGAATTTGTTGTTAATAATTATAATAATAATATTATATTTTATAATATACCTATGAAATTTGAGATCAAATGGGTAATTACATAATTACATTTTTTTTATCGGAATATTGGAATGCAGTTTTCATATATATATATATATATATTTTCGTTTATTCGTCGCTCACGAAATTGATAGAATGCGTAGATTGTGTTTAATACCACACATTTTTTTTACCTGCCCATTATGCCCACCTGCGTGGGTTCCAGGCAAGGTGCAACGACAGGCGCGTGCCTAGACCTAGGAATGTCCCGAAAACATAGTCAAAGGCTGCAACCGTGACTCCTCATCGTTTCGAATGCACGTTCGTATGGAGTGCACCATTTTCGCCATTCACTCCTTATCACAATTGTAATAAGCCATGAAAACCATATCGACACGCTATAATATCAGCGTCGTGACGAATTTGATGGTGCCGATAACAACATGCACTCCAAGATCGTGACTAACATTGTTTACTTAATATCGAATTGGAGCGACGAAAGTAAATAAAGTCTGCGCATTTTCCGATTTAGAACTATTATAGTCTTTGTAGAATCTTGAAACAACTGATATATTTTGCCTATTGCTTTTTTGTTTGTGTTCAGGGTGGACTCTTCAAGGTTATTGTGAATAAATGGATAAAGAGAAGAAACTCACGGATCGTGTTCGAATAGATCGAGGTTTGCCTTTGGAGGCAGAGCAGGGCGCACATCATCTTGTCGCGCATATTTTCGCTCGGTACTAAAGAAGAGAAGAGGAGACGTGCTTCTTGGAGGCCAAGAAGCCAGGCGCCAACTGGATGACGACTGTCTTCGGTTTATAAACGGACCACTGAGGGAATTCTCAGACCGATTCTCACTACACTATATGATGATGATTCACTGCTGGAGACTTCTTCCGGTCGTCGTCGAACTATGCGGTTTCGGTACGAATGCCTGGTTGGTACTAACTACTACTGCACTACAGGCCACAGCTATTTAGCGCTGGTACCCTCTCAACGTTCCAACAACGTTCGCGTTCCTCGGCCGACTGAGGCTCACAACTTACTGAACTGGATGGATGAACGAAGCCACCACGATCGTCTGCAGTCTGGGGTCTGGGCTGAGGTGGTCATACCTCTCTTATCGCCATCGGAATTCCACTTAATGGGAATATGATTAATATTCTTTCAAAATAAATATTAGGGGAACAGGTTCGGAGAGCACCAGATTTTTCAGAATTGCCTACACTCATTCCATTCCTTCCTCCATTCACTCCACAAATTTTATGCTATACTCAATATATTACACGCATTTTTTTTCGTAATCCATGAACATTATATTACAAATAATATCAACTTGGTTACAAATATACTGCGGAAAAAGTTCCTAATCCTTTTCTTAAATTATATTACATAAATAGAAAATAAAAACAACATAAATTATTTCCATTGTGCGTAAAATCTTTCAGTGGTAATTTTAAAATCTTATTATACATTATTTGATACTTAATTAAAACTACTAAGTTTATAGAATATCACGAAAAGCACGGAAATTAAGCACAATAATTAAAATACATTATTATGATTAAACAAAAATATTTGAGGAACAATTACAAAGTTGTTTTTGTTGATTCAATATAATTAATTTTATTTATTTACAGATATTTATTTATTCTAATTTGGACTATCAATAATATCACATGATAAAGTGGTAAAGTAATTAGGAAAACAATTTAATTTCCATTAAGTAAATTCAAGAAAACATAATGAGATAACATTTTAACATAAACTTTATATAATATTAACAAACCTGACGTTAAATACAGATTAATGAAAACTTTTAATAATTAGATGTTATAAATGTTTGTTATGTAAATTTATAAAAACAGATAACAAATTTATCTCATTATTATTTTTTGTTCTGTAACAAAGGAAATTCATATAAAAAATATATCAATTAGCAACAAAGTTGATGATGATATTGTTATATAAAAAAACATGTATTGTTTTTAAAAAAAATATATATTTGTAGAAAACTGTGAATAATTTCTCTTATCAATTATTTTTGTGTAATTTATATTGAAAACATTACAAATTCGAACTAAAAGAATCAATAAAATTTTAACAAAATAATTTTTTTGTTCTTTACCAAAGGAAATTCATATAAAAAATATATCAATTAGCAACAAAGTTGATGATGATGATGATGCTGATATTGTTATATAAAAAATATGTATTGTTTATATATAAAAAAATATATTATTTGTAGAAAACTGTGAATAATTTATCTTATGAATTATTTTTGTGTGATTTTTAATGAAAATATTAATAACAAGTTCGAGCTACAAGAATTTATCAAATTTTAACAAAATTATTTTTTGTTCTGTAACAAAGGAAATTCATACAAAAATATCAATTAGCAACAAAGTTGATGATGATATTGTTATATAATATCATGAAGTATAAAACTGTGAATAATTTCTGTTATACATTTTGAAAACATTAATAATAAAAATTCGAGCTACAAGAATCGATCAAATTTTACGAACATTATTTTTTGTTCTGTAACAAGGAAATTCATATTAAACATATATCATTTAGCAACAAAGTTGATGCCGATATGAATAAATGTAAATAAATATTTACAAAAAAAGAAACTGAGGTCAGTAGTCGTTTTATTCATGTTCCTGTATATGGATTTATGCAATAAATATATTTATTTACACGTCTTATCAATCACTAGAATATTAATTAAGTTCCATTTGTTTTATGCCTCTGAATTTAATTAATTATTCAACGTATTCAATTACAGATTTCACACCGAGCTAAGAAGATATGCTAATCGTTATTTCATCGAATTTTAAATTGATTCTTATTTACGATCTGTTGGGTTTGAATGTTTTTTCTTTTTCTATAAAATTAAAAAAAAAGTGGAGTATATTCCGTTACAGGATATTTTCAATTTAAAAAACAACAAAATTATTGTTTTTTTTTTACTTTATACAGTCAAGTCTCTTTTTGTGTTGAATATTTTTATGCGGTATTAAAGTCCAGTTTCAAACATTGCGGGATATTGGCGAAACAGATGCACATTTTTTTTTATTAAGCCAACAAGAAATGATTATAAATAATTTATAATTAATTACAGCAATACCTCGCATAGCGCGGCTTCAATCAGTACGATCTGGATTCACTATTATTAATTTTCTTTTTGTATAGTTTATTTTTATATGCGGATTCAAAAGTCCTTGATTATTACAGTTTTAAGTAGAGATATTGGTGGAACTAATTACACGCACTATGCGAGGTATTGGTGTACATTTTTTATATTAAGTCAACAAAAAAATATTTCGGTTTCAAACAGTCCGATCCGGACTTCACTATAGTGATTTTTAACTTAATTTTAAAATTATAATTAATACATATTATAAATGACTTTTTCGCTTGTCTATAATTAAAATCACATTAAGAATACAGGTAGTTTCCTATTTCCTGTTAAGATACACCCAAAAAAGAAATAATTATGCGATTATAGTCCGGCTTCGGTCAGTGCAAATTTACTATAGAATGGTTTGAAAATTTCAAAATATAACAAATTTTAATTAAGTAAAGTAAAAATAAATTCTACAAAAATAATACACAAAATATTATATAAGTTATATTTTTATTCTATATAGTCAAGTCTCTGTTGTTGTGTTGTTTACTTTTATACGGACAATTGCAAATTTTTGTTGTTAATTATTTATTTAATATAGATAAACAAATTTTATACTTATGAGAGATTACAACAAAGGAAATTTATTAGTAAGTCACGAAAATTTAAAAAGTCAGTTAAAATGACAAAGAAATAACTCTAGAATTAATTATAATTTTGTATACGATTATAATTGCAATATGTAATTACAAATCCAATTGACATGAATGTCTTGATTTATTAAGATAAAAGGAGAATGCAAGAACACATGCCGTTGCTTCTTGTAAACTTCTTGTACACTGTTCTCAATTCATATCACAATTAAGATGATAAAACACAAAATTAGACATAATTGAAGTTTAAATAAATAAATTAAATAATTAAGATTTTTTTCTGTTTAGTCCAAAGTTCAATAATGAAATGATAGTCTCTTAGAAAATGATGAATAAACAACTGTTTCATTTCAAAATGCATTTTTTTCAATGTTTTACATGTATATTTCTTTACTATGAAAACATATAATAGATCTTTCATTGGATGCATGCATGTGTGCTACGGAATTCTGAATGATGTCAAGGTTTCAAACAGAAAACCTGGATTAGGTTACACGGCCTTCGTATCGTTAAGTGGTGACCGTTTCCAAGCCCTTAAGCAATTACCATCCTATTGTATTATATGCGAACCAAAGATGCTGCAACCAGTTTGAAAATGCACAATAGTTTGCGCAAAGCATTAATTAAAACCGAAATGGCAAATTAATTTACACATCAAATTCAGCCTTTGTTTTATACCAATTAATTTCTTATTGTTACTACAAAATATTTTACCAAATATTAACAATATTCGAATTGTAGTTTCCATTTATATAAAAGTTTGATTGGATTTTAACTAGTTGTAAAATAATTATTGTTAAAATGCAATATTGCTTCATTGTGTTTACACAATAAACAAAACTTTTTTTTTATATTTACACAATGTTGAAGTGCAATCAGCAAAAAGTATAATTGTAAATGTAATCCATTTACGTTGAAAATGTTTATAGCACAATCAAATATGGTTTGCAGATTGAAAAGTTTAAAAGGAAAACGCAGATTGTAATACGAAATGTATTTGTAGCCACAATGTTTCTTAACAAATAAAACTAATATTTTAGTTTTTTTTGTTGAATGCACGTTTTGCCGTTGGAATAATAAAATCGCAGTCGGCTGACTGCAGCATAAAAGTCGAGTTCATCGGAATTACCTGTCTCGAAATTTGCTGAACATATTTTCACAGATTTTCCAGCGCCCCGGTAATATAATTTAATTGTCGGAACCGGAGTGTGTCTGAATCGGCGTTTATAAAAATATATAAAAATATTTCGCGCAAATAAATCGAATAGAAACGTGAAAGTCTCATTTTTTTGTTAGAGTAATTTGATCGAAAGTGTGAAACGAATATCTTAGAATAAATAAATGTTCTATACTAATTTATATACATATATTGTACAATAAATAGTTAAATTATGGCTTTTCATATAATATATTAAATATACAGCACTTATATTGAATTGAGCAAAATAATATTAAGTTCAAAATAATTATTACAAAAAATATTATTTATAAATAAATCGTTTTTGTTTTCAAGTGTTGTTTGTGTTGTTTAGTTTTGTACGGTTAGAAAGTCCTCGATTAATCCGGTTTTAAACAGTGCGGCATATTGCCGGAAGTGCAATTATTCAGTTTCTATGTTCGTCTTTTAAAGGGTCACTATTTACCCTTTAAAAGACGAACATAGAAAGTAGAAGAAATTTTTCGATTTTATTCTAGGGAAAATTTAGATTGTTTTTCCTCGAAAATTGGGAAATTACAAATTTGAAAATAATTTCGGCACGTCTGGTACGTCGGGTAAAATACTTGTCGCATATTATGAAAGATAGAATACACCGAGCAAATGCAATATTTCAGGTAACTGAAAAGTAGGGTTTGTCGGTTTTTGAAAACCCATATTTTGAAGTAATTCATATAATTCAATAACCAGATTTTTCCAAATTTTTAAGCAGAAAATTTCTCTGGTATTGTAAAATTGGAGAACTTTTCAAAGTTTGAGGACCAAAAAAACACGAATTGAACCCTTTATTTACAAAATAAAAAGTTTTTCTTGAACTAGCTTCGA